GTTTGGGACTTCGGCCGCAAAAATGAAAAGTTTGGGTGTAATCTGCAACAAAATGAAAGGTTTGGGACCAGCGCTGCAATTTTTTCAAGTCAAAATTACTGTTAAAACGTTGACTGACGGTTTTATGGATGGAATTAAAGGCTTGGGACCGACGCTGCAACTACATATAAAGGTTTGGGACTTCGACTACAAAAATAAAAGATTTGAGTGTAATCTGCAACAAAATAAAAGGTTTGGGACCACGGTCGCAATTTTCCCTTTTTTTTATTTGTTTTACACGAGATTTTTACATTGTATACGTGGCATTTAACGATTACACGAGATCAAAGACGAACGTAATTAGATATATTTTTAACAAATACGAAGAAAAAAGTTGTGGACTTGCAACAATTAGACCAAAATGAGTAGGATTAGTTCGTATTCTCTCTCTCAATGAATACTCAATATCTTAATCTAGAGGTGTGATACAGTAGCCTAATTATAATGATTTTTAGATAACGAAATTTCTTGTCATGTGAGTTTCGATTCGTATAAAAGATGCAATTATCTAGATTTTTTAATCAACAAGCGCTCGATGAAATAAACATGTATGTGAAGATGCCGATTGTTTGTACATTAACAAAAGGAACTTACTTTAATGAACCTAATCATGCACAAATGGTTTATGTAAATGTGGTGCATATGTTAAAAATAAAAAAAGTGGGTTAAATTCATTCAGCCCAAACCCTAAACCTACCCCCACCCTTTCACCCCCTGGAATGGGCGTAGTCGGCACGGACATATGACAGCAACTTGACACAAAATATCATTTCATTGTTATCAAACCATTTTTGTGGATTAAACTATCTCCACGTGTCACTTATGGGCTTCCCTGGATATATAGTGAGATACAAACTGTTATTGGCACACACTCAACTATTACATTACACGCCTAGTCAACGTTTTTAGAGAATGATACAACATGGTGGTGTTGGTGGTGGCTCAGCCAGAGCAAAGTGTTTTCCGACGCGATGGAATGCGGCGACAAAGCCATGTGACTATTGCAAGTCCTCGGCTGCGTTGATATTTTGCGTGACAGAGTCGGCCTTTATGTGCATGACTTGTGATTCTAACGTGCATAATAACGCGCATGAGCGTGTGTGGATGTGTGAAGTGTGCGAGCAGGCCCCGGCCAGCTTCAGTTGCAAGGCGGATGCGGCCGCAATATGCGTCTTGTGTGATCGGAATATCCACTCGGCCAACCCTTTAGCCCGCCGCCACGAGCGGACCCCGATTGTGCGCTTTTATGGCACTGCTGAGTCGATGATGAAGTCTGCCTCGGTCGCTACCACCTACTTATTGCCCATTAACCACTTAAGTTGCACAGAAACGAAAGTGGAAAACGCGACAGATAATTGGATACCTTCCAACCCAATTACATCAAAACTTTCTGCAGATATGAAATCCACGGAATTATTGATTTCTAATTCTGATCAATTCTTGGATTTTGAGTATCCAATCTCTGCTGACAGTGTTGTCCCTGTACAAACCATAAAGCCTGCCGTCCCAACAAAATTGACTGAGTATTCATCTGAAAATCCTTTTGAGATTGACTTCACTAAATCCAATATAAATTCATACAACACCACCACTACCACGCCATCCTTTAGTGTAAGTACAGTTCTTGGTTCTTCTTAGTATATAGTCCTTTGTTATAAATTTTTTATAGTTTGATTGATTCTTTGTTAATTTTTCAGGTTTCATCATCGTCGTTGGATGTGGGAGTTGTGCCTGATGGGAGCACCCTTTCAGATATATCGTTCCCTTTTAAGCTAAACACGAGCATCAGAGGAAATGAAGCTTCACACGTGGTGGGAATGGATAGGGAAGCAAGAGTCTTGAGGTATAAAGAGAAGAGAAAGAAGAGAAAATTCGACAAGACTGTACGTTATGCTTCACGGAAGGCCTATGCCGAGACTAGGCCAAGAATCAAAGGGCGGTTCGCCAAAAGAACTGAGGTTCGATCTGATACTGATAAACTCAAATTCAGTTCTTTCTCAGCCAATGAATTACTGATGATGCCAGATTTGGCGCCGTCCTTTCATTTTGATGCAAGAAATGGATTGAAAATGTTGTGAGCAAAATTAATGTGTAGATAATTTAAGTTTCAATAATCCGAAATAGATTTAAAAAAGGCTTAGAACTGATATGCAGGGACATGACATGTTGTTTGAGTTTCTGCAATCTAAAAGCCCAAATACTTTTTATTGAAGGGCTCGATGTAATTTTGTTTGTACAACAAGAAATTGTCTAGAGATATTTGGAGTAGTTTAAACGCGTTTGATCAATTGACAGAACACACTTGACTAAGCGTAAAAAAATAAATGTAAGTAGACATTTAATAAAAGGTTTTACATTTAAACTTTCCTAAGATATTCCAAACACGTCTGCCAATAATTTAACTACCAACTAACTTAATTCACTTTTTTTCAAGCCTAACGAAACATGGTGAAATACATAAAAGGTCGCAACCAATGTCACATATCGAAGCTTCCCTATACAATTTGATAATTTGTGAATTTTTTATTTTTTTTTCTTACAGGTGATTGCGATGTATAATGTAACATCTATCTTCAAAGATGTGTCCAAACTTGGACCTCTTGCTCTTGGTGAATGATAAAATTATAAGTGGGATCTTTTCCTGGCTGATGTGACAAGGGGCCTTTTCTTGCTCAAAAGTTGGTGGCTTCTTGAAAATGAAGTTAGCTTAATGTTTTATTGGACAATTGAAGATCAAGGTTATGGTCAGAAAAATGAAAATATGTATCGTTATGGAATTTGTCACTTGTGGTAAACTCCTTGACAGAATTTTAAGTTTACGATTGAACACTTTGTTGTGCAATCGTTAACGATACAATTAGATTAATGTTCGCTAAAATTATATACGACAAGTGCACGAGTTCGTTCAAGTAATAAAGTGGACTTGTAAGTCTGAATATCGATCCTTCAAGGAGTATTTTTTAAAAAAAAAATTTCACAATTGTTGACTCAATTTTAACAATTGAAAACACACAATTTGATTTTGTATGTGAGACGAAAAAGAAAATGAATTTGAAGATCAATTAAAGTAACAATTATGAAAGTGAAGGAAACTCGGATTATTAATGAGTTGGGATTTACGATGTCACTTGAATTTCATTTCTTTAATATCGGAATAAATCGGAAATGCAAATTACTCAGTTAAAATGTTAGACCTGATTTTTCAAATTTAGTTAATTACCTCATTCAAGCGAATTTAATCCTAATTGATTGTTTTGTAAAGAAACTAGGGTTTTTTTTTTTATCGAATTTTTGAAAAAACTTCAAAATAACTTCAATTTTGTTTTTGGACAAAGATGATGATGAGTTAGCCATTAGATAAATTGCACAACTGCACAAGAAAGTATAGACCTAGAGATTGCGTTTTTTTCTATAAGGTGTAATGTGACTACCAAACAAAGTAGGAATTAAAAAAATAATTTAGAAATTAAGAGATTTGATAGTGATTGCAATGATAGCTGTACAACACCATAGAGCAGAGAGTTGTGGGGAAAACTTGCATGTTCAACTTATTTATTTATAACAAAAATATATTGAGGAAGAACAAAATATGGGTGTGTTTGATAGATATTATTAGGAAAGAATGTATTTTAAATAGTGATATAATGATAAATATGTGGATAAAAAGTAAAGAAAAATTATTGATGTGATAGAAAACATTATTTTATTGAAAAATGTGTGGTTGAAAATGAGAATTGATTTACTGTAGAATTTGAGAATAAAAAACAAACATGCCCTATATCTCTTTGTTGATAAAAATCCGCCTTAAATCGTAATGAAAATACTCAATGGTCACCTAGAGTTTGGAAGAATGCACAACAATCTCTCAATGATTGCACAAATCACATAAGTCTATTGGCCACATACATGATGAGAATTTAAACACAATAATAAATCCACAATAACCATAGTAATTAAAGCATTCTCAATCATCTATTGGCCACATACATGATGAGAATTAATGCACAATAACCACAATAATTAAAGCATTAAATGATGAATATTGACATTAGTGAAACTTAGGTCAAGTTACACCATAAATCGCAACATTAAACACTTAGCTCATTGTAAAATAGAAGTACAAAGAGGAAATAAAGAGATAACCCATTACAAAATGAAGGAGATAGTAGAAAAAATTAAGATAATGGAAGAAAACCGTCCTTTGAATATATTCTTGAAAATGCGAGGGATTGAAATCTTGAATATCCTTTTCAAACTCCCAAATTTTGCTTTCTTCTTACCTCTTTCTCCCCTTGAAGTGTTCTCCTATGAGTCTTGCCCTAAAATTGAACAAAAAATGGTATTTAAAGAGCCAAAAATCGTCTCAAGTGAAATTGCGAAGTCTCGAAATTTAGGGGAAAAATGCAAAATTGCCCAGACAGAAGGCGGCGCACACATGTGCACGGGCATTCTTGGCGTACGCGCACCATGTAACTATTTTGGTCTCAGTATATTAAAACATGCTTCTTGCGCGAGCACATGCTTTTTTCTTTTCTTTTGTCCATCATAGTCCTCCATATAATTGTAATTTGTGATTTCTACCGACTAATTTCCAATACAAACTGATTGGCTGTAATTGGACCGCTACAAGTACCTATTTATCTTGACAAAAACTTGGTATCACAATCTTTCAAAAAACAGCTACTCGACGAAGTAGCAAATCTAAATATGGAGCTTTAAAATATTTAGTCACCGAGTTAACTTGGTCCATGTCAATTCTTTTACTATTAAGGATTCCTTGAGTTCATACACGTTATAATCGATACCCGTGACATATAAACTGAATAGAATATAATTGACAGTATTGTGGTCTAAGAATTAACAATAATGCTAAATATACACTCCTTCATTTACATTGATTTTGACATTGCATTTGTTTTTTGACATTTGTGGGTGAAAAAATTGTTTTTCTTTTTAAACTGTCCAATGATGTTTTGCTATGCGATACCATGTAAAAAAAATGATGAACATGTAGCATGATTGAAAAATTAATGAGTCGAATTAAGATGGTGTTTGGTGAGAATTAAAATTAGATTTTTAGTAAATTGTGATAGAAGTTTTTGAAATATGTGTTTGAAAAGTTGTGGGATCAATAAAAGATGTGGTTAATATTAATTGTTTGACTTTGATTTGGATTAAAATCAGATTTTATTCCGGACCAAACGGGGGCTAAGTGTGT